AGGGGGGGGGGGCCTCTCTGTGGCGTTTCTCCCCCGCGGCGCTTTTGCCTCTCCTTTTCCCCCCCTTTTTTTTTTTTTTTTTTTTTTTTCCTGCTGGCACTACTGTACTCCAGGTCTGGAAAAGTAGGATGAGTTTCTTCCTGCCTGTTTGCAGACGTGTGAATGGAGTGCACCCACCGCTGAATTGCTACAAGGCTAAAGGGAAATAACCGACATACTCAGTGGGCCTTCCCTGACCACCCTGCTCATTCTTTATTGCATAAGGAATTTCCTCCCATACCCCCTTTGATTCCCTCATCCTCAGGTATACACACATACATTTCCTGTTTACCTCCAAGCAGCCTTAGGGAGGGAGGGTGGGCTTCACCTTTCCTCAGTGCCAGGCCAGCAGCGTGGCTCTGTTCCACCCTTGGTGCCTGCTCTACCCTTCTGCCTGACATTGGTGGCCAGGCCTTTTAACGGGCCACAGGGACAGGGAGTGGCATCAAGGTGCAAGGTCCACCCTCCGGTGGTGAAAAACTGATGTCGAATCTCAGTTCTTCTCCATGCTAGCTGTGTGACTGGGGAAAATAACTTAACCTCTCCCTGCCTTAGTCTCCCCAAATTGGGAATGATATTGACACTATCAACTTCCCCAGAAATTACAAGGATGGAACTGGTGTCTTTAACAGCCTGACTTGGGCAAAGTCAGCAGGGAAGGCCAGTGTGAACGATTCTGGTGCCTGGAGGAGGGGAGGCTCAGGAAAACCCCTTTTGCCCTTCAGCTGACACCTCCAAATCAACTCTCTCCTCCCTGTTCTGCACCCACCAGGCAGTGCGGGGACTCCATGCAAGGGCTTCTTTCTGGTCTGGCCAAGGAGCCAGGAGAAAGCAAGGGTGCCACCTCCCCTTCCTCCCTCCCTCTCCCTTCTCAGCTTCCCAGGTCAGGGCTCCCTCCCTGCTTCTGCTTCCAGGTTTCCTTCCCTCAGAGCCTGGGTGGTACCACTGCTTTGGTTACCAGTGTAGGGGGCTACACAGTGATTATCTATGGCTCCCAGCCTCCTTCCCACCTCCCACAAACACTTCCTGTATTAAGCCATCACTCTTCCCAGTTTTCCCGGTTTGATGGTGCCATCTTTTTCCTTGGGGGACCTTGACTAATCAGGGATACCCATTGTACATGCAAATATCATGTTTTGAGGCCCTAGATGTGCTTTCTCCCATCAGTCCTTAAATCTGACTGAGGTAGCCTAGCCAGGCCCTGCCTCAATAGACTGTATCACATAAATGGTGGGACAGAAGAAATCCTTTAAAGTTGCTTTTGTTGGGTATTTTGGCACAGCAATGAGGGAAGATAAATAATACACTCACATTTGCTGACCCCACTCCTTCCTAGGCTTCCTGGCCTCCCACTCAGGTTCAACCACCATCTGACCAGCTCACTTGGTGCTCTGTAGGGCCAGATCCTAAGCCCTAGGGGCCTGAGTTAGAAGCACATTCAGGCCCCTCCCCCAGGCCCTAAAGTCCCCAAGTTCTGCCACAGAAATTCCATTCTAATTATGGTTTTTATATAAACTCATCCTTCAAGTCCCTCTCCATGGCTGAGGGGCAAGGGCCCAGGCTTCCTGATAGGTGGCTAATGAGGAGGAAGAGGCAGTTGCTGATGGGCATGTAAGGAGCTGTAAGAGGCTCCTTTCTCCCACTTGGCTCATAGCCAGGATGCATGATGCTCTGCTGGCCACCTGGAGCCACCAGCAGCTGTTCAGTGCCCTTTAGCACCATGTTAAAAGAGGTGGTGCAGGAAGACAGTTGGAAGCCAGGGCGATGGCATAGGATCATCTGGGCTTTGCTGACCCCCAGGCCTTTTCTCAGGTTTGACCCTTGCACTTTCTTTAGTTATTTGAGCTGGGAATGGAACCAGAGCCATGTGCATGCTTTGCACCTGCTCTACCCTGACCCTTGCATTTCTGTCCATCTTGTGTTTTTTTTTAATCTGTAAAAAGGAGAAGACACCTCTCGCTCAGAGTTACTTCAAATGTTAAATAAGTCCCAGGGTAGGTACTTGCCACTAAGTGAGTGTTAAGTGGCAACTTTACTATTATTATTATTATTATTATTATTATTATTATTG